TTGCCCCACAGCCTTAACAAGGAGTAACAGAACAACTTGGCCAAACCCAGAAACGCTGTCCCCTTCTGATTCAACCACTCTCCATGGCTGAATCTAGTTTAATCTATAAGCTGAATTTATAGTTTACAAATTAGAAATTTGTTTTCAAACTATGTTGCACATTATTTAAACTTCCAGGGTTTTCCCAGGCAGAAATGAATTAGCAAAAACTGCAAAATGTAAAAGCTAAGGTACGTTAAATCCTGTTTTAGGATCTTTATTCCGAAGTCAAGTGCCTTAATTTGCTCACAGAAAGCAATAGCAAATTAAAGGGATTTTCAGAAAGGGAATTTCCATGCAATATGAATCATACATAAAATTGGAGCACATTAACTCTGTAGTTTTTACTCTTATTTTGCCTTAGCTTCCCTGAATGACCTCACTTCCCAAAAGACCTATTTTATTTACTGCTGCCATTCTGCAGAAGTTGGGCATTCATTCACTTGCCCACCAAAGCACAGTTTCTGGGCCTGTAAGCAGGCATTTTCCCCACATTTGGATGCAGAAAAAAAAGAATTTTTGACACGGTAGTGCAAGAAACGTTGCTTTTTTGCAAGTTTGTCTAGGAAAAGAGCCCCCAGGCTCTGCAGGGAAAGGCAGAGACCATTACCCTCTCCTTACACCACCATTAGCAAGGTTCACATGCTGACTCTAGGTAAACAGCGGGGGGAAAAGAAGCTAGAGGGCAGGCAAAATTAAAGATGATGGAATTGTGAACAAGAATATGCACAAACAGGCAAATCAGGTGACATGGGATGTGCCAAGATGGCAGCTGGCGCTAAGGAAGCAGAAAAACAGGCAGGTTTTGGACACATTGCAGGTAATGTCAGGTTTCTACCACGACACAAGATAAAGGAGCAGAATATTCAGAGTGGAGAGGCAGGGTTGTATGACAAGCCCTGATACCATCCGCTGCAAGGGAAGAGATAAAAGCCATCAGCTCCCCTGCAAGCACACAACGGTGCCTGATCCCACAGAATTTTTTAACTGCTGGGCAAAAAAAAGTGAGGATATATATATATATATATCCTTATTTGTAAAGATATATGTAGATAGATAGATAAATATATATATATACTTTTTCACCATTAAAAGAACCAAGTAAAATCAGGACCTCAGTGTTCCTGGCAGAGTGCAAATGATTTGCCTCTGCTCAGAAGAGCTTATAGCAAAACAGAAATGACAGACAAGCGAGAAGACTCCTTTTGCAGCCGGGGGATCGGGCAAAGAGATTAAGCATTTTGCCAAAAGTCACAGCAGAAGCCTGTGACAAGCAGTCTGTCCTGGATTAAGCCTTAGGGTTTTGATGCAAGGTAACCAAGAGCAACACGAAGCTCGTTCAGCAACCTGAGACAAGCCTGGGTTATGCTGCACATAGTCTCACTTCAAGCACAACAGCAACCGCGGCAGCGGGTGAGGTTTACCTATGGGAAATCCAGCAAGGACCTTGACCAGGAAAACTTCCATCACTCCTGGGAACTTCATCAGGCGGAGGATTTTGTGGAGGCTGAACACGCTGCCAGCCTGCAATGGGCCTGGGAACACGATGCATCAAATACCATTTTATTTATGCAGGTGAGAGGCAGGAAATAAGAAAGATCTTTTTCTAGAAGGACCGAGGTGCTCCTTCGTGCAACTGCTAAATACTTACTATGCTCTGTCATGGGATGCTCCGACTTCTGTCTGGCTGGTGAAGGGATCCCGACTATCACTATCACGGTGCTTATGAGGCTTCCTACCAGTCCAACATACATAGGGGAAAAAATGCTGCAAACAGAGGAAAAACACAGGTAAGTGGACAAATGTCATAAGCAGAAGACACTCGAACATCAGCCCTGCAAAGACTTTGGCACACGGCTGCTTTCTCTTGGGTGAAGAGCAATCCCCTCCAAGTCACAGTTCCTATGGCTATAAATAAGCTCACCCACTTTCAGGGCCGCACGCTCAGATGCAGACACGATTAACAGTAACTACAATTGGTAAATTTTTAAGGAGAAAAAGTACCAACAATCAATTGCCTAAAGAACCCCAATACAAACTGCATAAAAGCCAACAGAGCGAATAGAAAGTCCTGATATAAACATGGGGCGGCTGCTGGCCGAAGCGCCCTTCATGGGCACGCACCGATAGCGGAGCGGTTGTGAGCGCATTCCTACTGCTGCTTTCCTTGTTGGACCATGGCATATTTTTCCCTTGGAAGAACCAGCAACACTAATTGCAAAAGCCTCAAGCTTCCTCCATGCTAGACAAAGGTGCGGCATGAGTAATTTCTTGAGTATTACCAGGTTGTTATTAAAGTTCCAGGGAAAGGCAGGCAAAGATTGAGATGCAAACAACTGAGAAAAGCATCAAAGAGCAAATATATAAATATATGTATACGTATTACTGTTAATAGCAACTGCAAATATCCCAGGTGAATGTTTTCTCATTAATTATTATTAACAACAACAAAGGTAGATAATATCTTCCTGCAAATGGACTTACTGCAATAATTTAGACCTGTTGCATCCATCTGCCAAGTTGTTTGGTTAATTACCTTGGACCACAAAATTAGTCATTTACTGGATTGTTTTAACTTTTTCTTTCTTTTTTTACTTTTAAATATAGAAGATTGCCATTTTCTGATTAAAAGTTTTCTGTTAAACAATTCCCAAACTGTTGAAACAAAATTCTTTTGTCCCAAAATTCTCTCCAAGAAATACTGAATTTCTACTTTGTTTTATACAGAAGTGACTTTATTCTATTCTATTTATTCTATTTTTTATTTCTATATTACAATTTTTCATTATGATATGGAAAAAAGAAGTGTAATTGCAAACATTTTTATTGGACTGAAAAAGAAAAAATTCCAGCACAGTCTCTTTTTTATTTTCTAAGGTTTTCCAGCCTCTTACAAACATGGTACAATTATATTTTACTTTTTCGTTCAGAAGAGAGTTACAGCAAGTACCAGCAATGAGTGAACAATGTCTCAATAAAATTAGTAAATAACAATGTCCTCTTGCACTGAAAGCATCCGGCTGCTAAGTCCTTGCTGGGAAAGGGAGAGGAGAACCTTCAAATTTTCCATATTTGGGAAAAAAAATGGGTTTGTCTGAATGCATTAATGCCCCGTTGTACAGCCAGGCTCTGAATTCGGAGAAACCCAATAAAAGTAGAACACGGAGCTGAAAAGCCACTTCCCAGAATACCCCAGGCGCTCCAGATCCTCTGGAAATGCCTCCCCCCAGGTGCAGCTCTCTCTAAGTGCTCCCTTTTTCCCACATTTTAACCACTACCATTTCCAGATCAGTAGGTGCTGATCTCCAGGTCAGCACTTGGACCTGGGGATTTGGCTTCTGAGCCAGAGCGAACCGCCTTGCTCCGCTTGCTCATTTGGAAAACCCATTGAGAACAACGCTTGTGAACCCGCTTGCCAACCCGTCGGAGTGCTCATCCCAGCAATACAGTGGTGCAAGACCTGCCTATGCTGTCCCTTCACATCTCAGGGCCAGACATGAGCACTGAGAGGCTCTTCTGGAGATGCTAGGAACGCGCTGAGGAAATCGCAGCTTCCCTAGGCTCCCAAAAACTTCATCTCCCTGAGGCTGTGAACAGCTCCGGGCTGTTGTAGATGGTCCAAAAGTATTTCTTTTCCTTGGCACAATGGGGCTGGAGGACCTTGGTGGAGCACAAAACCCTGGCACTGCTGAAATCAGTGGAAGTCTCTCTTGCACTCTTGCAAAGGGACATTAAATCTCATCCCTTTGGCTTATCGGAAGGAAGAGGTGCCACTAATGAGGCAAACAAAGTGGATCAAGCAGGTTGCTCCCACAGGATGCTGTTACATCCCCTTCCCCTTCCTGTGCTTCCTCTCAGCCCCCCTGGCTGCGAGCAGATGAGTCATCTGCAACGGGAGCAACTCCTGCCAAAAGCAGAAGCACATTTCCTGAGGGGCCCGAACAACAAAGGACCCAGGCACAACTAATACAATTAAATTAAAAGGAGCAAAAGGGCAAATCAGCTTAGACAGCTGAGATCATTGTACAGCCTGCCTCAGCTCCTGGCTGATTAAGAGAGGTCAACTGCCTTCAGCGCTCTTGGAGACAGCAAGGGCTTTATGGTCAGAATAACTCTGGTAACTTCATCTGGGTGCTGCTCCTGGCTTGATTTTTTTTCATTTCCCTGAAGCAATAACACAGACGCGGTGGTTGCGCTAAGGGAACTTCCCTCCATGGAGGAGTCTGCAAGAGGACAAGGTGCTCTGAATGGTTCAATGGGACCCTGCCAGCATCTGGCATCTTGGCATCTCCCCACCGTTTCTGCCCTTGTAGACACCTATGGCAAACATGGGTCTGCCTGCTGCCTGCAAGCAGTAAATAGTACTGCTTCGAAATGTGGGAGGCCAAGTGTGGGGCACTGCTTACCTGCTGTGCAAACTGTCATAGACTGCAGCATTTATGCTTTGAGGCTCGCTCTGCAGCCTGTGGTCATTTATAATGGACAAGGGGCTGGCAGACGGGACTTGCTGTCTGGAAACTCCATCCTTAGTGCCGGTGGGAAAGCAAAATTGATGCTGAAACCGCTAATAATAACAGCGTGGTAAACAGATTAAACCCAAGAAAAAAATAAGCATTCAAAGCTGACTGGACCAAGGATGAATTTCTTCCCATCGAATGCTTAACCACCTTCTGTATTTACTTTCAGATGACTGCAAATCCTAGTGGGCACCAAGCTTCCTGGATGAGCCAAAGTAGGAATGCGCTACGTGTTATCCCACAAGGAATCAAGCAGATTGCAGACCAAGGTTTGGCCGTTGCATTTTTCACCTTACTGAGCCTTACTCTGCCTTCAAACCACGGGAGAAAGCGTGCATGTGTGTGGTACCTACGCATGTGCAATTGCACAATTAAATGCTGCAGTTCTTTTAAGGACGAAGCCATTCCCAGCGAGTCCTTGGGGATTAAGGATGCACGTGTGCTTCTGCAGCGCATGGAGTTGGGTTTGTTTGCTTCCCTTCCCCCTCTTTTTTTTTTCTTGTAATAAAGTTAAAGTTGAGTGTGGAGGGAGTGCAAATTGTTTTTTAGTGACTCACTTCGACTTCAAACAATGCCACATAAGGATTGTATTCATAACTGGGCTGGGTTCCTTCAAGAGCTCTGAAGGGACTCTCAAAATATTTCTTTGATTGCAGTCTGGCCGCACTATCCGCTCACTTGCGCCCTTAGAGAAGAGCTGTAGGAGAAAAAGTGATTAAAAAAAAGGACAAAAATCGGCTTGGTTAAACCATGACTCCAGGCCATGTTCTCCGGTAGATAGCTCTGTTCTTTTCAGAAATCAGCCAACAGCCTCTTTTCTGTCAATGGCAAACGTGCATCATGTTCCTGATAACTAGGAATGCCTAAACAGAGCGCGTAGCTTCGAGTGACTCAGTGCCGCATAGCTGAGCGCTGCCTCAGCTCAAGGCATTTCGTTTTACTGCCCTGGCAGTGCTTGCGCAGCGCGTTTTGTCCCCGACGCGGCCTCGAGACGTCAAACTGCTCAACTGTTCCCTGGCATCCAAGTGCCTCCTGGGAGACAAAAAGCAAGCACAAAATTTCATTGAAACCATGAAGCGTTCTTAAAAAAAAAAAAAAAAAGGAAAAAGTGGGAGGAATCAATAAAAAATGAATTCACTGAGGCATTGAGACTCAGAAAACTTCACATTTCTCCAGACTGTTGTGTAAATGTGCAGAACTAGAGGCAAACAAATAGAATCTTTTCCCAGCTGTAGGGGGGCACCGAGCCTCTGCACATTTACATGCCTTTATGGCAATCGGGGAGTGAGCTTCGCTCCTCCAAAAGATTTTAGCCAGCCGACTGACTAAAGCACTGCTTGCTCACTCTGGTGCCCAAGTTGTCACCTTGCATGTCTAGAAATGGGGGAGTCTAGACATGGACCACATGTGAATTGCACTCGCTCAACAGGGGCTTGCAACATCTGGCCTCCAGCCCTAACCTGGGATGAGCTGGGGCAGGCCAAGATAGGTATCAGAGGAGGTGCAAGGGGTCAGCGCTCACAAGAGAGGCAGATGGTCAGCAGGGCTGGGACCTGAAGAAACAGAGAAGAGAAAGGAGGTGCTTTTGGCGCCTGTGAGAGGTCCACAAACTCATGAGCCATGTGGAAAAAGGGGCTAGGAAGTGACTTCTGATGCATGAACTAGGAAACATGGGATGAAGGTGCAAGGAACTTGTTTGAGGATGAAGAGGAGGAGCTGATTCCTCCCACAAAATGTATAGGGTCAATGAAGCTTGTTGCTACTGATAGTGCAGAAGCAAAAGGCTTGAGCAGGCTGAAGGGAAGACTGGACAAGCACTTGGTGGAAAAATCTACTGAGGATTACTAAAGAGTCACCAACCACTCTGAGCTCAGGAAATCCCAGAGCGGAAAATACTTGAATACTGGGAAATTAACTGGTGAAGCATTATATAAGTTTGCTCTGTTCTTCTTCTTCCTTAGGTATCTTTTTATGACTTTTGTTGTAGAAAGCATCTTTCCTTCAAAGCACAAGAATAAAGCAGCTCATGTCAGCACCCTCTTAAACAACAGAGCAATTCCAGGATCTTTCACTCAGGTCATGTTGAGATGTAAGTGCAATTTCCTCCTCTGCAGCAGGAACCAAAACTGTCTCCTGCCACTATGTCACAAATTAGAGATAAGCTCTTGCCCATTCCCCCAAAGTCCTTAAATATTCCAGCGTATAAATCAGAATAATCATAAGTCTCACTCTGAGCTTGGGACATTCAGC